CTCTGGACCAGGAGCAGTGGGACAGAAGGTGGCCCAAAAGCCCTTTCCTCTGGGCTGGGAGCAGCGGGAAGGATGGTGACCAGGAAGCCCCTTCCTCTGGACCAGGAGCAGTGGGACGACGGCTCAGAAGCCCCTACCTCTGGGCCGGTAACAGTGGGACTCAGTACCCTGGTCTGGTGGTCTGGTGTTCTCTGCGTCTTTGCAGTGTGGAATCAGGTGGCTGCCTGTCTGCAGCGGGGTGATTCAGTGTCTTCCGCGCGACTCAGGACCTCGGTAGGGCGTGCACAAACCTGCCTGTCTGCAGCGGGCTGATTCGGCGTGTGTTCCGCGCAAATGGGGACCTCTGTAGGGTGTCGGCCGACCTGCCTGTCTGCAGCGAGGTGATTCCTCGTTTTCCGCGCGACTCAGTACCTCGGTAGGGCGTGCACAGACCTGCCTGTCTGCGGCGGGCTGATTCGGCGTGTTCTGTGCGACTCAGGACCTCGGTAGGGCATGGGCGGACCAGCCTGTCTGTAGCGGGGTGACTAGGCGTCTTCCGCGCGACTCAGGTATACGCTCATTTTTGATGAATGGAAGATAGCCCGGCAATGGGAGACAAGACATAGAGGCTAAGGGTTGCCTCATGTACAGGGGCTATTAAAACAAAAAAGCTGCTCGGTTAGATAGAAAGCAGTTCATTCCTGTGTTACATATATGAAGAGGTGCATTACCAACAGAATGACACCAAAATATAACCTAAGAGATGGGAGAATGTCTGGCCAAAAGGAGCTAAAAGAGAGTAAAACTAATGTTAGAATTAAATTCCCAAAGAGCCCACAATTGATTCCCTCCATTTAATTCTCACCACAGCAACCAGAAGGATCCTATTAAAACCTAATATTCACCAGATCAGTTCTCTGCTCAAAGCCTTCCACAGGCTCCCATTTCTCTCTTCAAAAAAGCCAAAGTTCTTTGCTGTGGCCCATGAAGACCTACGAAATCTCCATTTTGTTCCTGCCCTTTTCCCTGTCCTATATGACTGGCTTGACCCTTCACTCACCTTGCCCTAGTTGTTTGTTAAAATCACCTGGCAGGAACTTCCTCCAGTTCATTTTCATGGCTGGTTTTGTAACCTGAAGTGCTTTCCCCAGATATCTGCATAACTCATTCTTACTCAAATACTGTTTTCTTGTGACCAATTGGTGTTAAACTGAACCCCCCCACCACCACACAGAATGCCCTTTATCTCCACCAAGCATGCCACAAAACTTTACCATTTTGTTTTGGGGTTTGCTTGTCTTTTTTCACAGGCACATACTCATGGCAGGATTTGTGTGTATTTTTTTCACAGCTGTATCCTCACTGCTAAGAAAAATACCTGGCACATACCAGGAGCTCAGGATTATTTGTTGAGTTCAGAAACATGTACAGAAAAAAGCACTTTATATTGCCCCAGACCCCAACTTTTGTTTACCTTTAGTCTGGAGACACATCATCAACATTATGGGTTAGATTTAAAATATTCCCCCCAAGTATCTGTGTTCAGAGGCGGGGATTTGGGGTCGTGAGGACTCTACTCTTTAGTAGATTTGTCCATTGATGAGTTCATAGCTGGACATGCTGTTAGGAGGTAAAGGCTGGTGAGAGGAGGTGGGCCATGATGGGTGTGACCTGGAGGGGCACATTCCTGTCCTGGCTCCTCCACTATGCCTTTATGCCATGCCATTTCTGCTTCGGAGCCAGCCAACCATGCTCTGACATTTCTGAAGCCGTGAGCCAAGGTAAGCCTCTCCTTTAAATTGGGTGTTTTGCAATTTTGTCCCAGTGAAGGGAAAGAGATGAATGCAATCATATTTTATATATTGTTAATAATATTGGTATTGTTTGCTCTGCATCAAACACAGTTACATATATTATCTCATGTAATCCTTACATTGATTCTATGGTATCATCTATTATTTTCCGTTTTACAAATGAGGAAAGTGCAGCACAAGTGAATGTGCGAGTCTGTGCTGGGTAGGAGCGAAAGAGTCCCGGCTCAGATATTCGTTCTCCAGGGCCCGCTCCCTTCAGGGTCACCCAGTACTAATTGTGCCTATTCTGTGCCCTGAAGTACAGTGATTCCAGATAGTAAAAACGTTAGATATTTACAGAAACATGGCCTATGGCAGGCACATCCCTGGACGATCTGTAAAATCAAGTTAGAATGATACAGATTTTGAGTAATGAAATGTAATTCAGTAAGTGCACA